ATTTGTCTGGTCCGTATCTACGTATAGCTAATGTCCGCATAAGTCGAGTAGGTACTGAGAAAATTAAACACAACGAATTCACGAAAATGATCCTCGTGCAGACATGTCTAAGGAACTGTAGTGGATAAACCCAAATAGTTTCCGGATGTAAATCTTCTCACGTTATAATTAAAAATCCTAAATGTTTCCTGGGATGTAACCCGTTCCCCATTGCCATTGCCGGGAATAGTCAGTCTGAGATATAGGATCATAATCGTTATTGGTCATTCCCAGCTATTTCCCCGGGGATGTAGTCCGCTTACTGCCAACGTAAAGTAGCTGCTAATCACCGAGATATTCTCCCTGGATCTAGATCACATTTCGTAAGTGGACATTCCCAGCTGATTTTTGAGATATCCGGGCCTGTTCTGTGGAGCGATCACTTCGACATAACTTAGGCTGACTCCGGGAATATCTGTGCTTATTTTTTGAGGGGTCACTTCTGGTTGAGTTACCCGCGGGGTGACCCCAATACCCGAGCACCACCCAAGATAATGACCATCAGCGGGGAGCGGTTATCACCGAGATATTCTCTGGATCTAGATCACATCTTAGTTTCGCAAGTGAACATTCGCAGTTGATTTTTGAGATATCTGAGCCTGTTGCGATGAGCGACCACTTCGACATAGCTTAGGCTGACTCCAGGAATATCTGTGCGTATTTTCTTGAGGGCTCACTTCGGGATAAGTTACCCGCGGGGACGGATGACCACAACACCCGAGCACCAGCCAAGATGACCATCAGCGGGGAGCGGTTATCACCGAGATATTCTCTGGATTTAGATCACATCGTAGTTTCGCAAGTGGACATTTGCAGCTGATTTTTGAGATATCCAAACCTGTTCCGTGAGCGATCACTTTTCGACATAGCTTAGGCTGATACTGGGGATATCCGTGCATATTTTGGGAGGGGTCACTTCGGGGTAAGTTGTCCGTGGGGATGACCAAGGCCTATTGTAGGGATACTTGTGCATATTTTTTTTAGGGGTCATTTCAGGTTAGGTTACCCGCGGGGATGACCAAGGCTGATTGTTGAGGATATTTGTGCATATTTTTTTGAGGGGTCACTTCGGGATAAGTTGCCCCCGGGGATGACCGGGACATCCAGAGTACTACCAAAAATAACGATCAGCGGGGAGCGGTTTGCTGACCGTCCCCAAACGCAAAAATTACGCTGTTGGCAGGCTCCA